TGAGAATATGGGAAGAGGTAGCTGAGACAAAAACAGTTTTTATCTCATTCAATGGCATTTGTGTTCCACAGAGGCAAGGAGGCAGGAGGTGGGAGTTTGACAGATAGAGAATAAGGGAAGAATCAATTGATTATATGCCCAGATTCCTATAGTCACTTATTACCACATTAGTGAGAGAGAATAGGGCAACAGCTTGCTCTTGATATTGAGAAACCAGGGAATGGAGGCAGGAAATGGAGGGGACAGCTTGATCTAATGGTTTGGCTCCATCAATACCTGATATTTAGGTCCCTAAGGCTATACTAAACTTACCCTCATCACTAACCCTATAACCACAACTCTTGGCAGGGAATAGGGCACACCTAGAAGATACTTCTCTACATGTGCAGCAAACACTTGATTACTGGTATCTGAGTCTATAGACCTTAATTATAGTGGAATGATGCTTGGGATTTCTAATGGTTCTGCTCCAGATCTCTAAGGGATGTTAGTCCCCTTGGTGTAGACCTTTTACTGTCTCTGGCTCCTTGAATCTTGAGAGCATCATCAAGGTGAGCGTAGAAGTTGATAATTTCGTAGACCAGTTTCACCACCATTCTCTTCTGCTAATGACTTGTCCAAAATCAAAAAGCTAGTGAGAGGAGCTTTAATCTGGGTCATGTGACTCTGATTCTATGACTCTTTCTTCTGTACCAGTATATATCTGAGACCTACAAGAGTGTTTGTGGTGTAATTCTCAAAGTTGGGGTAGAATGCCACTATATACAGTACTCATACCCTTTTTACTCCTAGATCTCTTTACATGTTCTATAAGTGATAAACCAAGTAGGTGGAATGTAGGAGTACTGGATTGAGTCAGGTGGGCTAAAAGATGGGATGATATTGAAGGGAAATAGCCAGAGATTTGCTTTGGAAGGAGCCAGGTCAGCTTTAGAAGAGAAAATAACATAGAAATTGGGCAGTATTCCCACAGTTATGGATACCTTTCTCTTATGTTCCGTCACTCCTTCTGCAGAATGTAAGCTTCTCTAGGGCAGGAACTATTTTGTTTTTGTCTTTATCCCTGTTTTCCATCATAGTGCTTTGTACATAGTAGCACTGAATAGATGCTTTTTGAATTAAATTGGGTTCCCATCATAGTGTCTGCATAAACTGCCTTTGTGGTTTCCCACAAAACAGAGAGAGAAATCTTTGACTGAAATTTTTTATTTGTTTCATTGTAGTAGCTAAAATACACTCTACTTTATAAAGTTCTTTACAAAGGGCATAATCAGGTTCACTAAAACCTATCTATGGAAAGTAAAGCCTAATACAATGCAGTCACCATTATTACATGATTACTAGAACTAAATAACTAATTTATATAGAGTATCGGGGAAATTAGATTATTTTCTATTCAGTTTATAATACAAGACTTTATCGTTGATCATAAAAAGTGGTATAGTTCTTGAAATCTTTATAAAAACCCCCTTTTGAAAGAGAGGACTAATCATTTAAGTCTCAGCTCAGGTATCACTTCTTCCATGAAGAGCTCCCCATTTGAAAAAGTGAGTTCTCCTTTCTTAAATTTTGCCAGAGCACTTTACCTTGATCACTAATACAGTCTTCCCTAAAAGCATATTTATTTCTATACTTGCTGTATTCACTTTGTTAGATTTTTAAGTTTCTTGAATGTAAGGAACTTCTTAATCTAGAACCAAACATAGAGATTTGCAGATAAAAGACATTTGATAAATGTTTGTTGATTCACTTTCACAATCTAGTGTCAAAAAGCACACTCTGGGTGCACAGACATTCCACTAATGTGAATATATACTATATTCCAAATACACATAAAGGGGTTGCTCTGTGTGTGTACTATATATACCTTTCAGGTGTCATAGTACCAATCTTTGAATTTTCCCTCTTCCAAATGGTGCAGTTTTCACATCAGACTGTTAGATGGACCTCTTCTGGCAAATATATGGAAAGCCATGGAGAAGAACCACACAAACTGGGCAGACAAGGATAGATTGTAGTCTGCATCATTGGGGAGATGATACCTGCATCAGTGATGATCATAGATCCATTGAAGAATTTGGATATCCCATGTCCCGTTATCCAGTAGTCATATATACTCCTTTTGAAACTGATTTCATAATCATAATCATTATTAAGAAAGATCAAAGTGGAGGAAATATTTTTGAGGCTATTTCATAGGTTAAAACTTGCATTACATATTTCATGGGATATTTTACTATGGTGGTAAATAATAAAAATTGGAACTGTGATAAAAGTACTATATAAATGACATTTAATGGTGTTATTATTTACAAATGCATCAGCTTGGCATTTAAAGACCTTCACAGTCTCACCAACCTTTCCAGCCTTATTTCACACACATTCAGAGGTGTCAGACCCTCCAATTCAAAAATCTAAGTACAGTCTGAACCAGATTAAAGTATAATTGGAAAATGGTTAACAAAATAAATAAAAATATAATACAACAGGTGGATAATACTAATTTGTGATTTTCTAAGTCAGTGCAGCCCTTTCTATTTGAGTTTGACACCCCTGCTCTACAATCCAACCAAACCATCCTCCTTGCTAATGCTTGATCCAGCTATTTTGTCCCTCAGCTCTATTTATAGGTACAGGCTGCCCCTTCTGCATCAAGGGCACCCTTATTTGTGTTGGGTGCAGGCTGCTCCCTCTGTCTCAAAGTTAATAGTCAATAAATATTAAATACCAACTATGTGCCAAACACTGGAGATGCAAAAAGAAAACCCCTGCCATCAAGGAGCTTACAATCTAATATGGGAAGACAGCACACAAAAGGAAGGAGAAAAGTGGAATGGAGGGCAGAGGGAAATGGCCAGACGTGGTGAAAAAGTTAGAGAAGTTCCACAGTACAGCAGCCAGGTGAAAAATGAGGAAATGTTCTGAGCTGAGCTCCGTTTTTCAATGGAGATTTTGGAGTTGATGGCTCCACCCTCCTGTGAGAGGGACAGAGAGTGTCAATGAGGTGGAAATCTAGCAATGGGATGGGATGCTGGGATCTAGCAAGATGATGAGGTTTTCCCAATGGTGAGCTTGCTGGGGCATGGTGGGAAAAATCAGGGAAACTCCAAAGTAGTGCAGCCAGGTAAAAAATGGAAATCAAAAAGTGTCTAGTCTAAACCCATTTCTTCTACAGCATTCCTAATACTTTATTATCCAACCAATGCATGAACCCCTCCAGGAATGAGGACTCCTCCATCTTTGGAAGCATTCCATTCCACTTTGGGGCATTTTTAATTGTTCTATATTGTTTTGCCTTTTAAATCTTTTCTATACCAAGAAAGCCCAAATCTGCCTTTCTGCAACTCCCCTCCCTCCCCTGCCCCACCCCATTTTGTTCTCTAGGGCCAAACAGAACCTATTCTACATGATTGCCTTTCAGATACTTGAAGACAGCTTAATTCTAATGCCTCTCCTCTTTTGATCATTTTCAATCTATCTTGTATATAGCTTGTTTGTACATAGTTATTTGCATGTTGTCTTTCCCATTAGACTATGAGCTTCTTGAGAGCATGAAGAGGGAAAGAAAATAGTTGGGGTTGGAGTTGAGACTGAATTAGACAAATTCCATTCTCTGTTGATAACAATATCCATGTATCAGTCACAACTTTCCAAGTCTCATTGTTCAACCAGTTTTGAATAGCCAACATCTCTTTATCTTTTTCACAAGGTAACACAGGTGTACGATTAATTCTCATCTAATAGCTATGTTAAAATAAGGCTGGTCTGGCACAACCTGTTCTGAATGAACCCATACTGACTCTTAGTTATCACCGTTTTCCTTTCTAAATGTTCACAAGCCATCTTTGTAATAAAAGTCTTAATGGTGAATGATTATTACATTTCCTAAAATGTAGTAGTTTGAAGTAGGGTAAGAATGGTACCTCCTCTGAGTTTTTTTTTTTTTCTCCAAGACCAGTCAGATGAGAGAAATTGAAAACAAAAAGGATGTTCACAAAAAATTATATGAGAATAGGTGCAGGCTTTTTGTTCCCTTTTCTCCTGTTATATGTTAGTTTTTCCTTTCTGTATGTATGTACATATGGCCCACTGCTACAATGCAGCTGCTCTAGAGCTCAGGGAAATGTTATATAGTAATTTAGGGCAGGAAATGGGGAGCCTATCCAAATGTACTAAGCAGAATTCAGGCAAAAGATAATTACTGCAATTGGCCAGTAGAACAGAGTTAATACATCTGTTTCTGCTAGGAGTATTTTAAGATGTCTAATGATTTTAAATATTGATTATTTAAATGTAAAGTGATTTCATAGATAATGACCTTCTGTCCTACCCCATACCTCACACAACATTTTGTCTTACACACCTCCATGTATACATATTGTAGACTGTAATTTTGTTTCATATATGAATGTGTGTTTGTGTATTGCCTCTACTAGACTCTAAGCACTATGCTTAATGAGTGTTTACTGAATTGAATAAGAATGACTGTTTCTGTTAAATTATGATCAACATTTTGTCATTTTCAATACTTCAGAATATTAAAAGCTAATAACGTGGATTTATATTTCCCTTTAAAATTTAAAATTCCCTCTAAAATATTCACTTACAAAATTCTTTCATGTACACTGTTTCTTTGATTTTTGAAAGACCTTGTAAGAGAAACTAGGAAAGATTCAGATGAACTCCCACTTAATAGATGAGGAAGTTGAGTACATGAGAGGTTCAGTGATTTACCCAGGATCACATAGTTGTTTTGTGTCAGAGTTGGGATTGTAGCCCAGATTTTCTGCCTCTAAATCCAGTGCCCTTTGTATTATACTCTATTGTCTGTCTTTTTTCTTGAGTACTGACTCACATTTGTATAGAAAGTCAAACATATAAATCATGAAAATACTATTTTAAATGGCAGGAGGTTTGTCTGAAATTTATTTGCATCCAAGTAAATTTCCCGTATCTTTTTGAAAAGTGAGAAATGCCACATGTTGTGTCTTTTTCTTTAGATTCATTGTAGGGAAGGAAGAAATTCCCACACATTCATATTCGCCAGAGGCAGCATATGCAAAAGTGGAACAAAAGAGAGAGAAGCATGAGGAGAAATCAAGAAGAATGACCATAATTACTCTAGCCAGGAAACTTGTGGATTCAGTGTGAGTTCTTTTAAAAATGATTTGACTCTTTATCCTAACAACCTAGCATATATCCAGTCACTTTGTTTTATATATGATAATAAGACCAATGTTGGATTATTTTGTTTTCCATTCAAACAGTAGTAATAATTATGCATGTATCATTCTAAATGCATAGAAATTTATAAGAGGAAAATTTTATAATGGTAAACAAGAAGATTTATAGTCTCTGGCACAAATGAAAGCTGTATCTTATAGAATAATATACAAATTCAGAAACATATTAGCTTGAAACTGAAATATTTGGCCATTTAAAAACTAGGTGAGTTTACTAGAATCTGGGATAGTAGATTGGAAGAAAAAGATTGATGTACATTAATTGAATATTCCAGCATAGGAAGGAACAAAACAAAACCAAAAAAGAAATTTTTAGTGACTAAAGAAGACAAAGAAACAGCTAAAAGTCAGTCTTAATTAATGAAGATTTCTCTGTAAGGAAGAAAACGTTCAGATCTTTGAAAGTCAAACAAGACATTTTTATTTTTAGCAAAAGAAGAAAAAAGCCAATGTTGCTCTCTAGGCATATGGATGACAAAGATAAGGTTTAGGATATCTGCAAATAAAAATAATATTAGCAGTAATTATTTGAGTTGGATGGAATAGATGTACACAGGAGATGAGGGAGGCCCATGCAGAGGAGATCTTGAACAGCCAACAAGAAGCATTTCATCTTAGCATAGTCATCTGTGGTAAGAGGGTGAGAAGAGAGGAGAGCAAGTGAGGGAGAAAACACAGAGCTACAGTGTTAACAACAAGGCCAGAAATATTGTGGATTACCTAACTGACCAGTCAAAGGAAAAAGATCTGAAGAGGTATTCACTCACATTAAAAGAAACTAGGGAGAGGGAAGCAGTTGAAACACTTAAGCTTTAAAGTAATGTCACACACAGAGAGTGGAAAAAATTGTTCTAAAACAAAAAAAGAAAAAAAATCAATGAAGGATGACAATGGAAGAATGATAGCAGGATAAGAGAATGGCAGGGAGAAAAAATGAGAAAGTGAGGCAGTCCAAGGCATGGTGAGCAGTTTTAGTGTGAAGATAAGGGATGGTTAAATGACCAGTTGATCTGGTCAGTATCAAGTTAACAGCAGACTCAAAGTATCATCAGCCAGTAGAATCCAAGAGTTCCAAGGGAATTCTGAAGAGAAATCTTTGCAAATAGTACCTTGTTGCAGTAGGAGGTCTCTTTCCTTGGTTTTCTCCTTCTCTTGGCCCCTACCCTAATCTCTCCACAATTCCATATGACCCAATCTTTTGTATCATGCTGATGACATAAATGTTATGGTGAATGTGAGCCATTGCCTTCATCCCACCCCCACTTCCTAATGAAAGGTGGTGTGTAAGTTTCAATATATTTGTTGGGCTAAATTGAGAAAAGGGCTTTCCATATCATTTTGTAAGTAAGATGAGAGAAATCCAGGACCAGAGAGTTTTCCCAGAAAATTATCTTCATAAATAGGAAAGGATTAATATGGCAATGCTGCCAACTTACTAGTCTAAAAGAGGTTATAAAGGTCAATTATTTGGGAATGTGAACTATCCCCCTACCCAACTCCCCAGCCCCCCCCAAAAAAACCCCAATAAGATGAAAACTTAACTAATTGATGTCTGGAACTTATATTCAAAATAGTACATTCTTTAATTCAAGTTCCTTGGGTCTACTTTGATTAAATACCCCTGCAACTAATATATTGCATAAATAAAATGAGACTTGAACAGTAGCTCCTCCAACATAATTTTGCTAAACACTAGAAAGTGAAATGGTTTGAAAATCAGCCACAGATAGCCAACCTTCTTTAGAATTCCCAAATGATCTATTCCTATATTTACAAAAATATTGAACGTTTAATCCTAATACAAGTTTCTTTTCCATATGTTTCCTTTCAAATGTAATTAAGTATAAATGCCTGTAACCCGAGTATATTTTCATTATGATTTTTGCTCCATGACCTGACCTCATGGATGATTTATGCCCAGCATACTTTATCATACATGATTCAAAACTTCCAAAATATTTGGCTGAGTATGTAAATTGTATAATTTACTTCATATAAAGCACAAACACTTGGCAACATTGTTTGTAGAACCTGTATGAAATTATCTTACAGTGATTCTGGAACATACAGTGTTTCATGGTTTAAAAAAAAAAAAAACAAACCCACCATCATCTCTCCTTCTGTATGCTTCAAATAATAAAAACATTGACATAACTCTGAAATGGATAAGTGATACTTTCTACTTGTTCACACAAAGATACGCAAACTTGTTTAATTTAAAGCATTAAAAGAATTAAAATCTTTATGGCCTTTAAGCAGTTACCTTCTTTCTTTCTATGTGAAAGAAAAACTGTAGTCAAAACCAGCATATTTCAGGTGCTGCCATACTGAAGCTGTTCATCTCAGCATTTTCATGATCTCATTGATGTAGGTACTCTCTCCATTATTTCTGATGATGATACATCCATGCCTTATTCTATGCAACGTTTGTCCATATTTTCCTATTGATCCTCCACAGAGGAGCTAACCAAATACTAGACCCTTCTTCAGCTTTGGACATTTTGTGGATACCAGTGGAGCACTTTAATTTTGTGTCTCTTTTCCCCTGTTATGATCAGACCACCTACTTTGTCAATCCTACATTTCCAGAGAGGGAGAGAGAGAGAGAGAGAGAGAATGTTCTTTTATGAATTCTTTAACATTATTAATGTTTTTATGCTGTGGCCTGCTTGCCCACCCCCATGCATTTCTCCATTGCTTTTTGAGTTATCCGTAGTTTTGATCCTTTGGAGATTGTGTTATTTTACTCCTGAAAAAAAAGGGTGGTATCATTTCTGTCCATAGCTAGGCTTTAGACATAACATACATCTAGAAAAGTGAGATATGGCCCATTTAGAAAAACAATACGTTACGTCAGTGGTATCACATTCAAATAGTAAAGGATCCCAGAGGTATATTGCCTTAGAAAACCAGATTTTCTATGTTGTATTTTTATTTGTTTTGTTTACCATTTCCCAATTATGTTTTAATCTGGTTCTGCCCTTGCACTCTGGAGGCATTCCATATACATCATATACATACATACAGAGTTAGAGTGCTTAACATAGACCAAACCGAAGTAAGTATATAAAACTCTTTTGAATATCCTGATTTGGTAGTAGAAATGGATATGGTTTTTGGTGACACAAATAAAACAAAGAATTTACTAATCAATAATTTTAGGAAGATGAAACAGAAAACATGAAACAGATAAACACCGAAATACTGTTTTGCCATTATAATTTATTATTGCTAGAATGATGAAACAAACTTAGGTCCTGGTGTGGTGCTGAATTCAGTAAACATTCTGAAGGCCCAAGGTGCTGGGGGTGCAAACATGGAAGATAAGTTTTTGCCCTTGAGGAACTTGCAAAAATCAATTTGAGTAAAAGTTTATTTAAGCTAATTTTGAGAAAATGAAATCAGATTATTATTTTACATACTATAGGACAAATACAAAGGGGCCTTAGCTTTCGCAGTCAAATGTCTTCCTAATTTTATCCTGCACAAAACTGATTTTAAAAAAATCTTTTAATTAAGTCATCTTTTAATTGCACATCTTAATTTAATTGCACATCTTTAATATGCACGTCTTATAATTGGGCATGTGGAGGGTTTTTACTTAATTTAATAAATTTAGATACTGACATTAGAAATCAGTGTAGCATAATGGAAAGAGCACTAAATTTAGAATCATGTGAACTAGGTTCAAATCCTGTCTATGTTACTTATTTATTGCCTTTATGACCTAGGGCAAGTTGCTCAGTTTTTATGAGCCTCCAAGTTACTCATTTGTCAAATAAGGGGATTAGGCCTCAGGGGTCCATTCTGTCTCTAAATGTTGTGGTCTTGGGACCTTTATCTAATCAGTTTGTATTTTTTGGGTTCAATTTTAGATGCAAGCATGGACCAAGGCATAGATGTTGCAAACACTATGAAGATAACTGCATATCTTACTGCTTAAAAGTAAGTCTATAAAAGATGACCAGTGGTAATTGTGAATGGAAATCACATAACATAGTATTAGATTAGAGGTAAATGAAAAATATAATTCTCACATGTTAAGGATTATTATTTCTTTGCATGTAATTTGTAAAGCTAGAAACTAATGGACAATAACAAGCAAATTAGTCTTTTTGAATGTACTTTTAGATCTTTAATTCATGGTGTTAGGATAAACTTATTTAAAATCAATGAAAGACATGAGAGTGAGAGAAAAAAGATAGGTCAGTAAGAGAGAAAAAAAATGTTATTAATTTAGCCCCATTACAACCCCACCCTAAATAGAGTACCTGGAGTATGACTTTGGATAAGTAGTTACATACATACAGCTGTGCACATCTGGTATCGTGCAATGTGACTTCAGACTTGCAAAGTTGTTAAATTTTTTTGAGGGGCTGGGATAATGGAAGATTGCCCACAGTTGCTACCCACTGAGAGAGCCATCTATGTCCCCTGGCACAAATTACCCTTTTCCCTTATATGCTTAGTACACTTCCCGCCCTTCCTCTCAAGCACAGTCCTCTGTAAAGGAGATTGTTTTGACTGGAATTTGTCTGGCACAGGTGGTACCACCTGCTACAATTTTTTTTTTTATTTTGAGGTGGTTTTCTTAACAGATCTGACTCTTTTTTTAAAGTTTACATTTTTAAAGAACCCATCGAATATGTTGTTGTTGCTATTTTTTTTTTATACATCCCGATTCTCAGTCTGGAGTATGAATAGATTTGTAAATTATTGACTGGAAAGCCCTTATGGTTTTCTATAGGAGAGGAGAAAATGTCTTAATGTTATTTCTAATTGTGGACCTCTATGAGCCTAGGCATTGGGTTTTTTATACAGTGCTTTATATATGAGCCCAAATCAACTTATGCATATATATTCCCCAAAGATAGGGAAGGGGCACGTTCACTAATTATATAGTAACTGAGTATTTTTCTAGTTCTGTAGTGTGGTAGAGCTACCCTTCAACAACAGATTTCTTGTACCATTTTAAAGTGGTGAAAGAAAGCTCCATACTGACAAAACAAAATGTAGGCTGCTAGACCCTGGAGAATGGTTATACACTGGAAGTCCAATATGATTGTATTTCAAGACTATCAAAAAAAAATTTGATTTATTAATTTTTTGATTATTTCTATTTAAAGAAGACTATTGGAATGTTAATCGGCACATACTGTGGCTGAGAAAACTATGGTATAAACAGCAATTCTGTCAACAGCTAGTATTGAACTTGAAAATGTGTCGTAATAACCATTGGAATAATTTGTATGTGAACATAAAACTGTTGGAAGAGCAATAGATTGGGAAAATTGGCAACGTAAATGTGCTCCTTGCTGTTCTGTGGGCTCAAATTTACTACATATTAGTTCATATCCCCCCTGCTAAGATGTCAAGCCTTGAGTCAGGAGGACCTGAGTTTAAATCCAGCCTTAGACACTTACTAGCTGTGTGACCATGGGCAACTCACTTAACCCCAGTTGCCTCACCAACTAAATGAATGAATGAATGAATGAATGAATGAATGAATGAATGAATGAATGAGTTGGAGGAGGAAATTGCAAACTACTTCCACTATTTTTGCCAAGAAAACCTCAAATGGGGTCATGAAGAGTCAGACACAACTGAAACAATTGAAGAACAATGAAAATAATAAACAGCTGCCATTTATGTAGTCTTTTATGGTTTGCAAGGAACTTACATATATTATCTCTTTTGATGAGTAACTGTCCATCGTTCTTTAACCAGGAAAGATTTTGTTATTGTTGTTGTTGTTGTTGTTAAAGTTTAAAATATATCATAGGTGAATTCACAAGAATGATCTCCAAGGTAACTTTATGGTATTCCAGGCAGACCATAATTGGTACATAAGTAGGCCTGATAAAAGTAGGGAATCTGAAATTGATAATAGAAATCCTAAGAATTTGGGTCAACCCGTAACAAATACTGACAATATAATTTAATCTTTTTCTTCAAAATAGGAATTTAAATTTGTAGATTTTGCAAAAATATTTTAAGTACTAATATAAACCTGGCTTTTAATAGTAATAATTCACAATATCCTACTGCTAGTCTGGTAACTTATCATGGCATGGGGATGACCTTGGTACTTTAAGTATGTACTAGTGGAGAGAGAGTTATACCTTTTTACAGACAATATAATGATATACTTGGAAAACTCCAAAGACTCAACTAAAAAAGTTAGCTGAAACAATAATTTTAGAAAAGTAACAGGATGTAAAGTAAATCCACATAAATCACCAGTATTCCTGTATATCACACACACACACACACACACACACTTACAAGAAGAGATAGTAAAAGCTAATCACTTAAAATAACTCTGGACAGTATAAAATATCTGGGAGTACATCTGCCCAAACCAACCCAGGAACTATATAAACGAAATTATAAATAAATTTTTTATACAAATAAAATCAGATTTAAATAATTGGAGAAATATTAATTGTTCATGGGTAGACAAGGCTAATATCATAAAAAGGACAATTTCACATATTCAATGCCATCCCAATTAAATTACCAGAAAGTTATTTTACTGGTAGAATGGCAGAAAAGAAGGGGAATGATGTTGCAAGAATACCTTAGACAATTATGTATAAACTTAGCTGTTGTTACTTACATTAAGAATCTTTGTCAAGTGTCCAACCAGTAGACATACTACTGGAGGAAGTAAATCATACCAACTTTGAAATTCTTTTTATAAGTGAAACCATAAGACAAAAGGAAGTTGCAGTTAATTAGAAGGAAAGCTCAGAGGTACTCCTTAGAGAAGGAAGGAAAGAAAGGAAGTGTTAGAGTTGAAGCTATTGTGCTTCCAAAGGCAACATGAAATATAATGTCATGAAACATTTGGTCATTATATATCACAGCATTCTTTATATGCATTTGTTCACATACACACACACACACACACATACACACACACCTTTATACTCTGTGACTTCAATGAAAGGAGAAGACAATGAAAAAATACATACATGTATACACACGTGTGTGTGTGTATGTGTGTGTGTGTGTGTGTGTGAGGAAGAATAGTTTCGGAGTAAAAAATAAGAATGGCCAAAGGCTTAGGGACTATACAGAAACTTTATACCTCTCTATCATGATCACATTTTTGAGAAGAAAGTCAGGAAGTCCTGAACATGATGAGCACCAAATAATATAACCAAAAGTAAATGAAGTTGATATTATTTTAGCAGCTAGGAAATTACTAGTTACTGATATTGAAATCATTTCTGATTCAGTGGTCTGTATACACCAGACCATCAACATATTAGAAAGATCAAAATCAAAACTAAATTGTAGGGGCAGCTAGGTGGCACAGTGGATAGAGCACCAGCCCTGAAGTCAGGCGTACCCGAGTTCAAATCCAGCCTCAGACCAAAAACTTGACACTTACTAGCTGTGTGACCCTGGGCAAGTCACTTAACGCCAATTGCCTAAAAACAAACAAACAAACAACAACAACAAAAAAACTAAATTGTATAATAAAACAAAACAGAGAAAAATCTCATGAAATAGAGGTAACGCCAGCCTCTTTGTATGATTTGTTAATACTGACAAGTGAGAAATGGATAAAAAAAAAAAAAACATTGACATAGACTGTCCCCTAAGGAATTTTGGCTTATAGAAATCACCATAAAGAAAGCTAATGGGCTTAGAAATTTCTTCATTCAATAAACATTTTATCCACATGACATACAAACTGAGATGGCATCCAACCCTAAATCAGCAACCTTGATTTAGAAAATAGAGTTATTTTTATATCAAAGAACAGCAGGAGTAAACATCACCCCTCCCCCTTTCTGGAAACTCTGCCTCTATTAATGCATTCACTGTCAAGATTGTTTGAAATATGTGGTAGTGAAAGCTTTGTTCAGTGACCCCCTGTTTCTCAATATCAAAGTATAAAGCTGGGACACATGATTCCCCATGTGTTTGCCCTTTCATGAAGGATATTCCAAGTAGAACTCAAATGGTAAAGGACCTCTCTATCCTAGTTGGTAGAGTTGATACTGTGTTTATTGTATAAATCCCCAGAACATTGCAGTTTCCTAAATTAGACACATAATCACTTAAGAGTTCAGTCTGTCTCCATATAGAGGATAAAGCTATTGGATACAAAATGCCTTTTGGCCAGACTGTGTGCATGTTGGACTGCCAGCTCAGATAACTGCTCTGTTAGTATGTATATCTTAAATAGACACTGTGAATGAGCTGGTCCCAAAATTGAACAGGAGAGCAGAGTAGCTTTGAGTGATTTAGGCAAATTACATGTTGAATGACTCTTCCTCCCTGCCTCTTCCTGCCTTTTAAAAATCAGTGTTCTCACATGACTAATGTGGAAATATGTTTAATATAATTGTACATGTGTAGCCTATATCAGATTGCATGCAATCTTGGGGAGAGGGAAAATTTTAAAACTCAAAATCTTATAAAAGTGAATGTTGCAAACTAAAAATAAATAAACATTTAAAAAAAAAGATCAGTGTTCTCATGATGCTATATGGCTGTGAGTCATGAAATGCCACATAGTATCTGAAGAATTAATGTTGAATGTTACACAAAGGGCATGGTGTCTGTGAGTTTCCTTACCTGTAAAGTGAATAGATTGGGGAAAATTACCTAAGGCCCTTAAAGTTGTAAATTTGAAATCATATAGTCTTATGGAATAGACTAATATAAGCATGGGAGTTACAATTATATAGAAATTACATAAAGGATGCCATCAGAGAGATGTATAACTAGAAAAGGATGTGGCCCAGTTATGTAGCAAGAGTGAAGGGTAACAATGGAATAGCTTCCATGCTATATCTATGCAATATCAAGAAATCTAGAGGATGGATGAAACATAATTTCAAGTATTCATGGAAGTAGGTTCTCCTTTCTGTACTGCTTCAAAGTTTACAGAGGGTTTCTTTACAATATTCTTATGAAGTAGGTAGTGCAAGTATAACCCTCATTTTACAGATAAGGAAATTGAGGCCCATTGAGAAGAAATGACTTGCCCATGGTCATACAGGTAGTTGTGTAAGCAGCAGAATTGGGATTTGACCCCAATCTCCTGACTCCAAGTCCGGTTCTTTCCTCTACACTACCCTACCAAACAAGTGCTCCTATTAATGTAGACACTAGATTAAATAAAGAGAAAGCATTTATTCAGTGCCTGTCTACTAGTACTCTATACCAAAAAGGAAGTTAGGATTAAGATACATTGATCAAATGGTATATGAACACCTTTTAGCAGCCTTCTCTGTACCAGTTAGTCTTCTCTAGATGTGATATATCAGTTTGGCCTCAGTTGTAATCACAGAAAACAAAAATTGGCAAACACTGATTCTTTCCAAATCAATTCCATTTGGGGCTGTAAGCATTTACAAGAAATGTAGAGAAATATTGGTTATAAGTATATTGTTTTTTATGGCATCAACATCTCATTTGGGTAGTGTGCCATAAAGCTGCCATCTTTTTGTGGTTTTCAGCCTGACGTGATAGATCAGTAAGAGAAAATTTACATATAATGGTTTCTACATTTATAAATTTGTTCTGACACGTTCAGCTGTAAATTTCTGTCCCTGTGGTCTTTAAAAATATAAAAATTGCTTGTCTGTCAAAAGAATGTTTGCCCATTCCAATAATTCAGAGTTGTTGTCTGTATTATTTTCTAAGTTTCCTGAAGTACTTGATTTTGCTAGGATGTGGGTTTTCACTTTTCTGCTTAGGTGGACTTTTTTTTTCCTCACTTCAGTACTTTCCTTTCTGAAACCAAATGGTTTAAGAATTAGCAGTTCTAGTCAGTAAGTAATAGACATATCAAAGAACTGATTATTGGAATATAGATACACTTAGTACGTGCTTTGAAAATATTTAAAATTTACATAATATTAAAAATGCATTCAATCTAAAATGCCTGTTCTTTAGTAATAATAACAGTTTATGCTTATGTAGTACCTTACAGTTTACAAAGTGCTTTCCTCACAACTCTGTAAAGTAGTAATACAATCGATATCATATTTACTTTAAGGATGAACAACTGAGGTTCACAGAGCTTAATTAACTTCATATGACTGGTAAGTGGCAGTGTCAGGATTCTAATATAGTTCTTTTGACTTCATGTCCAGTGCTGAATGCACAAAAATATTTAAAATTGTAAGAAGGATTTAGTTCTGAGGATGTCTGTAATATGAATTTTTAAATGCTTTTTGGCCTAAGAGTTTGAAATTCAATTTCCTATTAATATTCAATAAATATTTAATTAGTGCAAGGCACTAGGAAGAATACAAAGATGCCTAGCACATTGTAGGTGCTTAATTAATGTTTGTTGAATTGAATTAAAATGAAAAATGGAAAAGCGAAACACTCCCTACCTTTAAGAAGTTTACAATTAATAAGAAGGAGGTAATAGTAAACAAGTAAATCAAATGCAAGGTAGAATGTAATAAGGACATAAGAGCGATATACAGTGAAATTGCTATAGGAAACACCAGGTAATAAGTCACATTTCCTCCTCCTTTCTCCCCTCCCCCATATTTTTTCTAGGGCTTTATCAGAATGTTTAGTGTTGGTTACTTGATTCAATGCTGCCTTCGAATTCCCTCAGCATTCAGGCATCTGTTTACACAACCATCCCGGCTACTTTCTCTCTTCTATAACAAGGAAAACTTTCAACTTGGAGCTTTTCTTGGCTCTTTTGTTAGTATATATAAGGTAAGTTTTTCGAAAGGGAAATGGAAGGTGAAGCCTATGATTATTATCAAAGTATATTAATACATCTGTTTTATATACTTTTTCATCAGTGTTCATAATAGTTTTGCCAAATCCAGATGTAGAGATGAAATTAATAATTTAGGTTATAATCACTTCTTTATAGTTTAAGATAGATGAATGTGTAAAAGCAGTTTACTCTTACACATACCTTAGAAGATTTTCAAAGACTTAACTTCACCCTTTTTTCCACAAGGCAGTGCTATTTCAAATGTTTTTAAACAATGTAATCTTTTTTTTTCCAAAGTTATATTGGGTGGTGGATATAATTGTTGTGTTCAAGTCTCCTTAGGTACTATAAGTAGTTATTGAACCTAACGGCCAACTAAGAGCTTCCAATAACTATTGGAAGTATGATCAGTACACTTAAATTGTTGACAGAGCCATTAGGATTTTTCTGCAGTAGACAGTGATATTTTGTTTAAAGGAGCCATCTGATATAAAAATCAGAGCATTTAAATGTTTTATTAAAATATCAAAAGCAAAACTGTGCTAAATGAGGTCAGCGTATACTTTTTTTTTGAGTTGGCCTCTATAAACAGTTCTGGAACAGATGAATCTCTGGACTCTTGTAGGTTTCAGAGAACATAAGTTTTTTAATAATAATTTTCCTATGAAAGGTAAGTTCATTTGTTTTAAGGAGGGGAAAAATTTGTCAGATGTTGGGTCATGGATTATCCATAATGTCTCCAATTATGGATAAGTTTCCTCTTTGTTAAAAACAGTAATGCTGAAGATTTCATTTTTAAGCATTCGCGTAATAGGGAACCATTGTCACTTTGTGAATTTACTGGAGGTAACAAACTTGTGACTTGAGCATTCTTATGAACATTTCTTTTCAGCTCTTGTCTCATGATTCATGTTATCATTATAGATGCCCAAATGTGAAGTGTTCATAGCAACATTTGTAAACCCAGACCCATTTTCCTGTGCTGTCCAGCACATATCTGGGCTATCTTCCAACTCCTGCTTGTTAATTCTACGGAAAAATGCAGATGGTATATTTCACAGCCATATGTAGCTGATTTTTTTGAATTATCTTGACCACTTACATCCCTGTATGAGCATGGCACTTCAAAAGATGGCCATATTATGACCATATGATATTTCTTGTTTAATTCTTATTTAAATGCTTTGCATTTTGTACCAGCTTTTATTGCTCATTCTCAAATTGTTCTTGCAAGTTAGGAAGATGGAAAGTTTTGCAGCTATAAAAACTAAAATACATGATGGCTAAATGCTTTGTCCCAGTTTAAGTAAAATGGCTTCCTAACTCTTTATATTGAGAAAAATGCAATTCTTTGGTCAAAATGTAATTTAATACCATAGTCATTAATGAATATTTATTGAACACTAATAGTACAAAGGAACTTTTCATTATAGATACTCCAAAATTCTCATTAGTTGGGACAGCTTACTGATGATAAATGTGTTTTTGTTGTAAATCTTGACGTATGTGTATGTTTTTTAGCATGAACTTCTTTAAAATGCCAAGAGCTGAATTCTGTTATGTTTCAGAGATTAAGTGCTTTTCATTAATAGTAATTTACCTACTTTTAATATTAATTTACCTTTAATTCCAGGATTTGCCTGAAATGGCCTTAATTTATTGGGGAGCCATGATGTGTAAACTCCACTGAGAGTAAACTGTTCATCTGTACTATAGCTCAGTGAACTACAGCCCATGGGTCAAATCCAGCCCATTGCCTGTTTTTATACAGTCCTTGAGCTAAGAATGATTTTTACATTAAAAAAAAATGTAGCCATTCTTAGCTTACAGGCTATACTAAAAACAGGCTGCAAATTAGATTTGGCACACAGGGCAGAGTTTGCTGACCTCTACTCTATATGAGTGTTCTAGAGCACAAGTGTCAAACTGAGGGCTAGAGGGACTCTCCAGTGCACAGGAACCCAATTAAGATGTAACTTGGAATTGTTTAACAAAATAAATAAAAATATAATACAACACAGTGTTAAATTGCGGTTTTATATGTCAGTATGTAACCCCCAGGAATCTTCTATTTGAATGTGATTCTACCCTTCTAGAGTAATTGGAATCCATTTATTCATATTTTTTTCCTGTTTATATCGTAAATCACTTTTATCTTGGATCTAAATTGAAACTACCATATTAATGCATCAGTTTTGTTATATCACATATTCACTTGCTTTCAAATTTAAATTAGTTACCCATTCGTTGTAAAATCAAATCCAAACATCTTATCTGAGCACCTCAACATAATCTGGTCCCATTTTACCTTCCTAACCTTTTTTTTTTCTCCATTGCCTTGAATAACTTCTCAATATTTCCTCTGTCATCAGTCTAAAAATGAAGCGCCAGGAAATAAATAAAAGTTGTATGCTTCTTGAAGGAATATATGAATTTTTCCTGGAACTTAAAGTCATTTATCTTTTGGTACAGATCATATATTGGTGTGTAGGGATCTCTCTTAAATGAATTTTCATGTTAATTCTCATATAACCAGCCACAGTAAATAATGGGATCTGACATTATTTAATATGGATTAGATTTGTAATAATTTGTAATAAGAAAAATTATTATATAGAATTTGCTGACCAATTCAGATCAATGGCATTAAGATGTTGATGAGTCCTCATAAGTTTTCCAACTACCTAATTATTTTGATTTTTACATCATCATCAGTTAGAATTGGTTAAAGGTGTTTTTGTTTTCGTGAACTCTACCTAAAAATGTAAATTAACTAAAATATTATGTTTTCCCCTTAATATAGGGTACTAGTTGCTTCCTTCGCTGGGTGAGAAACCTGGATGATGAACTGCATGCAATTATAGCTGGTAAAGCAACAATAAAACACTAATATTTTTATTTTACCAACCTGTGGGGAAAGTGACAATAAAAACACAGGAGCATAGGTATGAGCCTTGTAGATCCCAGCATTATGCAAGGTTTTTAGATAGTATCAAAACAATCAATTTTAGTATAGTCAGTTTTCTTTGAACATTTCTTTTGTCACCATGAGTGCTAATGATTTCTCCTTTAGTAATAATTTATATTTCCTGGGCATTCTGATTATTTAAAAAACTAGTCTTAAGGATATTCTCAGTAAAGCACTTCAACATAAATATACTTTTTACTTAATTTAATAGGAAGTCTATTTAGGAAGAAATTAATTGCCTTATTTTTAGTATATTAAAATATGTTGAGGTTATGTTTGTGTATTATATGGATTCTAAGAAAAGTTATGTGTGTGTACATATAAATATCTGTATATCTTCAGTTCCTTTATATATAATACACACATAAAACACACAAACACACACACACACACACACAGAGCCACGTACTTTTCATAATAGACCATGAGTCAGACAATCGAGTGGTGCAAGTATTAGTTCAGGCGCCATCCTTTTGACCAGAGACAAGTCTGAACAAGATCAGTGGTAGATGGGACTTAAGAGGATTTCTCACTTAACCGGTACTTGAGCAGGAATTGCTAATACAATATTTGTGGTCCCTAGTGTTCACTCAAAGACTTCCAATCATAGGCATCCCACTATTTCATGACTCCATTCTACTTCCTAATTTTTGGGAAACTCTTCCTTTTAATTGAGTCAAGTTGTTTTTCCGCAGCTTCCATCCTTTGTTCCTATTTCTGCTTCCTGGGGCCAAGTAAAACATATCTAATCTCCCTTTCCCATGACAGCCTTTCATATACTTAAAGAAAGATATTATGTCCCTCTTAAGCTTTTTTTTCAGCAGGCTAAACCTCTCCAGTTCCTTTAACCCATCTTCATATTTTATAGTTGTTATCCTGTTTCTTTTTAATTTAAATTTTCTTTTTTATTATGAACTTAACAAATCCTGTTCTCTCCACCTATCTCCTGGCCTACCCTGCCAGCAGGGAAAAGAGAAACATGTTCCTTCTGCTCTCCTCCCCTCACCCCCAGCTGTCTAACACCCTGAGAAGATTCTACCCTGAGGTCAGACCCCTAATTATGTTAATAATCCACTTGAACTCATTAGTTAATGATTAATAAACTCCCATACAGTCATTTCACCCCCTTTCAATGATTCTGACCTCCCATTTATTATTATTCAAACCTTCTTTTCCATCCCCTCCTGTTCTCTCCTTCATTCCCATACCTGTCAACCCAACCCCTGCTGTGTCCCACGCTAAACCTACACAGTCCTTCTCCAGAATGCCTGCTTTTTAGGTGACAAGCTTGTTTTCATGTTAAATCTTTTAATTTCCTACATCTTCTGTCTTCTGGTTCTCACTGAAACCTTGTTCCCTCCTAATGCCACCCTTTCTAGCGCTGGCACCACTTTCACTCATTAATCAACTCACTGGTTGAGGTGGGGGATTGGAATATGCCTTGCTCCCATTGCTATTTCCAAACACCTTCTATCACCATCATATCGTAACTGCTTCTCCTTTGAGGTTCATTCAATCCATATAGACCACCCAAACAAAATTCTGGTAGCTATTGTCTGCCAACCTCTAGGATCCTTCCCTTTTTCCTTGAAGAGTTCAGTCTGATTTATGGTCTTTCTCTCTTCTCCAACTCTTGCCCTTGTACTAGAGTACTTCAATAAAATTTTGAGTCATTTCAGTCATGTCCATCTCTTGATGACCCCATTTGGGGTTTTCTTGGCAAAGATACTGGAGTGGTTTGCCATTTCCTTCTCCAGCTCATTTTACACATGAGGAAACTGTGGCAAAGAAGGTAAAGTGACTTTGGCCAGATTTGAATTTAGGAAAGTGACTCTTCCTGACTCCAGGCCCAGCATTGTAGCCACTGCACTGCCTCTTAATGTTTACTTGTCAGGGAAACACACACAAGGTTATCTCTACAGAGGAGAGCAGGGAGGAAGGTATGAGATGGGATGAAAAGGCCTGGAAAAGTTGTCATGGTGAGTGGGACAGTAAGTCATTTAGGGAGGTGTAAAAGAGTTGCCTTACCCAGCAATAGTACTTCTAGGACTGTGTCCCAAAGAGATCATTAAAAATGGAAAAAGGACCCCCATGTACAAAGTTATTTATAGCAGCTCTTTCTTGGTGGCAAAAAATTAGACATTGAGGGGATGCCCATCAATTGGGGAATGGCTAAACAAGTTGGGGTACATGAATGTAATGGAATACTATTGTGCTATAAGAAATGATGAGCAAGTGGAGTTCAGAAAAACCGGAAAAGACTTGTATGGACTGATGCTGAGTGAAGTGAGGAGAACCAGGAGAACGTTGTACACAGTAACAGATCTTATATCATGCACTAATGTATCACTTCCATGTTTATGAATTCTGAAATGACCTTATCCCAAACTGTTGTCATTACACTTCTCCCTCTGCCTTGAAATCTGAAAACCTATTCCTCATCCTCACTATGACTTTCAGTCTCTCTACCCTTCATGTCTTTCCCAGACCATCACCCCAGCAATAACTACATTCTCCTCCCTTCACCATCTTGACCCTTCAGCGAGCCAGTTCAATTTTGCTCTGTCATCTTCTCTTGAATCTTTTGCCTCCTTATCCTATTGAATATCTTGCTGTGCAAAACATCATCCTTGGATGACTCCCATCTTCTGCTGCTTCCTCTCCTGCTCACTCATGTGCTGATAAACAAAGCTAGAGAAATTCACGAAACCATGCTGACTGGCACAGCTACCAACTTATGTGATCTTGACTGGGCCCTCAGTGTAGCAAGGTCACCCTTTTTTTTAAAAAAAAATTAATTAATTGACTTTCAGTTTTCAACAATCACTTCCATAAGCTTTTGAGTTTTAGATTTTTCTCCCCCTTTCTCACCCCCTCCCTCCCCAAGATGGCATGCAATCTGATATAGGCTCTACATATACATTCCTATTAAACATATTTTCACATTAGTCATGTTGTAAAGAAGAATTAGAACCAATTGGAGGAACCACGAGAAAGAAGAAACAAAACAAAACAGAAGGAAAAAAAGAGCAAATAGTATGCTTCGATCTGCATTCGAACTCCATAGTTCTTTCTCTGGATGTGGGTAACATTTTCTGTCATCAGACTTTTGGAGATGTCCTAGATCCTTGTATTTCTGAGAAGGGTTAATTCGATCAATATTAGTCATTGCACAACGTGGCTGTTACCGTGTACAACGTTCTCCTGGTTCTGCTCTCTTCACTCAGCATCAGACCGTACAAGTCTTTCCAGGTTTTTCTGAAGTTCACCTTTTTTTATAGCACAATAGTATTCCATTACATTCATATACCACAACTTGTTCAGCCATTCCCCAATTGATGGGCACCCTCTCAGTTTCCAACTCTTTGCCACCACAAGAAGAGCTGCTATAAATATTTCTGTACGTGTGGGTCCTTTTCACATTTTTATGATCTCTTTGGGATATAGCCCTACAAGTGCTATTGCTGAGTACAGCAACCCTTTTACCTCCCTAATTGACTTTGTCCCACTTACCATGACAACTTTTCCAGACCTTTTCATCGCTTCTCATAACTTCCCCCTCCCCACCATCCTCTGTGCAGATAACCTTGTGTGTGCTTCACTGACAAAATTGAGATGTTTTGCTGAATTTACTCCTTTCCTTCTCATCTCACATTACCCAGGTGTCTTCTGCCGCTATCCCTCCATGTCTGTTTCGCATAAAGAGGAAGCCTTTCTCCTTGCAAAGATGAGCCCCTCTCCTGCACAAATGATTCTATTCCAACCTGTTTTTGCCAGCACACTGCCCTTTTGTCATCTCCACTCTCTCACCTATCTTCAGTCTCCCCATGTCTATTCACTGCTTCCTTACTGTTTTACAAACATACCCATGTCTTCATCATTCTTAAAATATCCTTACTTGAGCTGTCCCTCATTTGAGCCACTTTTTCCCATCCTATATCTCTCCTCTCTTTTGTGGCTAAACTCCTTCCATAAGGAGGTCATCCACAATGGAGGCCTCTATGTCCTTTCTTCTCACTCTCTTCTTAATTCTCTACAATCTGGCATCTGACCTCATTATTCAGTGGAAATTGCTCTCTCACCTTAAATCCATCATATTGGCTGAGATGACAAAAAAGGAAAATGACATGCTGGAGTGGCTGAGGGAATCCAGATACACTAATGCACTATTGGTGGAGCTGTGGACTAGTCCAAACATTCTGGAAAGCGATTTGGGATTATTCCCCAAAAGCTAATAAATTATGCTGAGCAAGTCATAGTATATGACTGTGATGAAATACTAATGTGCTGTAAGAAATGATAAAGGAGGTAGATTCAGAAAAACTTGGAAAGACTTGCATGAACTGATACAAAGTGAAGTGAATAGAAGCATGAGAACAGTTTATACAATAACAATAATATTTTAAAAATAATCAACATTGAAAAACTTAGTAATGCTGATTAACACTGTGACCAATTGCAATTCCAAGGGATCCATGATGAAACATGATATACACTTCCAGATAGAGAATTGAGGGGTTCAGATTGCAGATTAAAGCGTATTTTCTTCCTTTGTTTTTCTTACTTTTTTGGACATAACTAATATGGGGATTTATTTTGTATGATAATACTTATTGGTAATGTGTTTTGTTTTTCTTAATTTCTAAATGGGTAGGGGAGGGGAAAGGAAACTAATTCAGAACTGAAAATAAAATACAATTGAATCTTTATGAATAAAACAAATTGTGCGGTTAACAATGAAGGATAGAATAAGGTGCTCTTTTCAGTTACTAATAATCTGTTAGTTGCCCAACATGATAGCCTTTTCTCAGTCTTCATCCTTCCTGATCTTTCTGAAGGTCTTGACACTCTTGATCATGCTCTTCTCCATGGTGCTCTCTTCTCTCAAGGTTTTCTTGATACCATTCTGTCTTGGTTTTCTTCCTACCTGTCAGACCATTCCTCCTCAATTTCCTTTCATCTTCATCCAGGGTATACCACAGGGCTCTGTCCTGGGCCACCTTCTGATCTCCCTCTGTACTCTTTCACTTGGTTATCTCATCAGTTCCCATGGATTCAGTTATTGTCTCTATTTTGATGATTCTCAAATCTTTTTATCCAGCCCTAATCTCTCTATTGATCTCTAGGCTCACGCCTGTATTTGACTATTGGACATCTTGTACTGGCTGTTCTGTATATCTCATAAACTCAACATCTCGAAAACCTGAACTTATTTTCTTTTCTCATGAATTTCTTCCAAACTTTACTTTTATTGTTAAAGGTAACATCATCCTATCAACTCTCCCCAACTCCTACCTCAAAACATGGGTGTTATCAAGTCCTTACATTCTCTTACTTCCTAAATATCCAATCTGTTGCCATGTCCTATTTATTTTACCTTTTATAATATTTCTTACATATTCCTCCCTCTCTCCTCTGACATTGCCACCAGCATGGTACAGACTCTTATTCATTTTTAGTTTATTGAAATATCCAGCTGGTTGGTTTCTGTGCCACAAGTCTCTCCCTGCTCTAATTCATCCTCCGTTCAGCTGTCAAAGTAATTTTCCAAAAATTCAGGTTTAACTATCACTACCCTACTCATTAAACATTAGCAGCTCCCTTTGATCTCCTGAATTAAATATAAACTCCTTTATTAGTCATTCAAAACCTTTCATAACCTGTGTCCTCTCCCACCCCCATCTTTCTAGTCTTCATATACTTTATTTGCCCCATGTACTCTGTGATCCAGTGACACTGATTTCCTTACTATTCTTCCCACAAGATACTCTGTCTCCGGACTCCAGGCATTTTTTTCTGGCTGTCCTGTTTCCCTCTTCATCTCTACCTCCTGGCTTCCAAAGATACCCCTAAATATTTGTGCCTTTCATCTTTTGATTTTCCTGAATTTATTGTAGTTGTTCACATATTATCTCACCCATTATTAGATTGAACTCCTCAAAAATAGGCAGTCTTTTGTTTTTATTTGTATCCTCAGCTCTTAGCACAATACCTTTGCATTTAGTAGATATTTAATAATTTGACCAACTGATTTTCATATACAAAGAACAGAAAGATTGTTATATGTGAAACTATCAATTTGTATATCAAATTTAACATGATAGCACTACCCTAAATTTCTTTTCTGCTCACTTCTTTATATTTTTTTGTTTCACTGATGCTTTTGTCTTTTTTAACATCATTACTACCCGTGAACTCCCCCGTGCACCTAAATAAAAGCTTTTAATAAAGGTCAGGCATTTAATAAAAGTCAGGCAAATAAAATCTATGGGTTAAAAGTGTTGGAAAATGTATATCTCATTCCACACTTGTAGTCCACTGTCCCTCTGCCAAGATATGGAAAGCAGGTTTCATGATCAGCCTATTTCCTTTATCTTGTAAGGGTTGTATAAACTGTGCTCTTGGATCTACTTCACTTGTATCAGTGGATGACCATCCATTGGAGAATGGCTAAACAAATTATAGTACATGAATGTAATGGAATATTAACATAATAGAAGCTACTTTGAACATAATGAATATAGATAAGCATGAGAAAACTTGTGTTTTCTTTACATTCATAGTAATGTAAACAGATCCATCGGAAAAATATTTAGTAATTACAGCAACATAAATGAAAAGAACAAAAAAATGCTAAAATACTGTGTAATATTAAATACCAACTTTGCCCCTCAAGAAGATTTGAGAAAGTGCACCTTCCTGGTTTCTTTGCAGAGGTGGAGGACTACAGGAGTGAAAAACTGCATATACTATCAGACTCAGATGTTGGATTAATTTCACCAAACTTTTTTATTCTCTTTTTTTGTTAATTCTTTGTCCCAAGTAATAGAACTCTAGCTACGGGAGGAGGGAAAGATATATTTGGAAATGTAGGCAATATAAAAATAATATTTGCTTGTGTAAATGAAGATGAATTATTGCCTGAGAAACTGATTTTGCTAAATTTAATGTGATATGCCTTCTGTCTTTCCAAACTTTAACCTAGTTTATAAGTGCTCAGGAATACTATTATCAGGTCTGCAACAACTACAAGGAGCAATGCCAGCAATCTGGTAGAATTATTGAACTGTGTGAAATTAAACATCTCAGAACCTTCTCAATATTTCCTTTACGGTTTGTTGTAGGGTTTTTGGCAGGTGTATCAATGATGTTTTACAAAAGCACGACAATCTCCATGTATTTGGCCTCCAAACTCGTAGAGGTAAGCAAATATTTCTTTATGTAGATTATTCTAAAATATGTGTTCTTAGTCTGACCACTGAAGTATGAAGAAATTGTGTATCCCAAGCACGGATTCCAGTGACTATCATGAAAAGACATAACATAGGGTTTTAATTAAAATTATTTTAAGCATTTACAAATATGCTCTGCATCATAGGGACTCAATGTGAACCTATTAAAGGATGCTTTTCTTTTTTCATGACTGTCTAGTGTATTAAGCCAAGCAGTAGCATATTCATTTCCTTCTTTTCATTGTCATATGATCATCTGATCTGGGCATAGGCCATTAGCCCAAAAATGAGTGCTAGAAAAAGGGTTCTCTGGTAATGGAATCTCTGGAGCATTTAATTTATGACTATAAGGAATTTTGAACTATTTATTTTCACATAGAAATAAACTTTATTTTGTATATTTTCATTAATATTTAAGCACAGAATTATCAAATTCCCTTTAATTGTTTTAAATAGTTTTTGGCATTCTTTGATATGATTTCCTTACATAAATTCAATAAATAAATAAAAGCTACAATTATATAGTAAAAGTCAGTACTGTAGTCAGTATACCTAAAATAGCTTTATAGGCAATTTTTTTTTAGAAATCTATGAATCTGCCCATAAGTATTTCCTGCTTACTATGTGCCTAGCACTTTGTGAGATGTAAAAATTAGAAGACTTTAGACTTGGAAGAGCCTCAGATAACTGAATATAATCTCCTCTAAAACATCCTTGACCTGGTGTCATAAAGATGGGGAATCCACCACCTGTCGAAACCACTTTTTCTGGTTTTGAACACCTCTAATTTCTAGAAAGACTTTCTTCACATTAACCCTACATTTGCCACTCTTTAACTTTTACATTAGTTCTACCACATTCTGCCCAAACAAAACAAACATTTTCTACTTACTAGCTTTCTGAATGTTTAAAAACAACTAACGTCTCCTCCCTTCCATCCTCCTTCCCCCAGTTCCTCTGTTGTCAGTCACTTAACCCCTGTTTCGCTTAGTAATTCCTCATATGGCATGGTCTAGTCTAGAGTCTCCTCACTGCCTCCTCGGTGGCATCGAGCTTATCACAGGTGATGCCCAGAACTCAACACACTATTCCACTATGGTCTGCCCAAACAGACTACAGTGGTTATGTCACCTCCCTTGTTCTGGAAACTCTGCTTTTTTTGTAACATAAGCTAATATTATATTAGCTTTTGTGGCTTGTGTGTCGTAATTTTGACTTGTACTTGTAGGTCTTCTAAAACTCAGAGATCATATTCACATAAACTGTTTTTGTCTAGCAGATTTCCTTTAGCCTTCACTTGTGAAGTTTCTCTTTTAGCAGAAGTATAGGATGGCATTTTGTTTGTTTGGACCTTCATTTTCACTGGTGTACAGAACTCATGTCAGGGAAACGCCTTCTCCCAGTACAGATCCATAACTTGTTTAATTTAATAATTTTAGAGCACTGAGAGGGAAAGTGACTTATACAGAGTTATATAGTAATATGTATCAGAAAAATGGCTTAAATCCAGATCTTCCAGACTCCCAAGTCAGATACTAGTTACACTTTTAACTGTTAAATTTTATCTGTTTTTAGATTTGTCCATTGTCCTAGTGTCTTTAGATATTGGTATCTGATTCTGTCACCCAGGATATTAGTTATCCTTTGCAGCTACATGTTGATTAGAGACTTAAGAAGCAATATTTATAATTTCATCCAAGTCATTGTTGAACTTTGCAGGGACAAGAACAGTTCTCTGGGGTGATCCACTAGAGGTATAATAAGATTTGATTCCTTCCCTTGGGAAATATATGGTTGGGGAGACAAAGCTTAGACCCAAGAAATAATTAGAAATCCATTCATTTTATATCCCAAGGAGTCTCAGCATTTCATATAAATTGTACTTTTACCAAACTTATTTCTGCATCTGTATTAAATGGTTCATTAATATAAATGTAATATAATACTCCACCCGATGATGTGCAGCCTTATATTCTCCTTGTTTTGTCATGTGGCGCTTTGCTTCTCAAATAAAGTGTGAGGTCTTTGTGAAAAGGGAAAATTTTGATGCTCCTTTTTGTATTGCCTACAGGTCAACTGGACTCACATTAACAGCTTGATAAATAAGTGTTCTGTTTTATTTTAAAATTACTGCTGTATCCTTAATGTTCTCTATTTTTGTTTATGGTATATTTGTTTATGGTATATCTCACGAGAATTTTTGAGTAGCAAAAAATTTGTGATGTCACAACTAATGTAGAACATAGTACTATTTTTTTAAAAAAGGCGTCATTTCTAAATCTTTCATTGTGATTATTTTGTAGACCATGTATTTCAAAGGCATTGAAGCAGGAAAAGTTCCTTATTTCCCTCATGCAGATACCATCATATACTCCATCTCCACAGCAATTTGTTTTCAGGCAGTAAGTATGCCTTTTGAAATGGGAAATGAGATTGTTTTAGTTTCTAATGCTTATTACATTCCAGTGGGAAAAGCTAGAATGTTATCAGACATGCATGGTAGAGTGTTTCACTTATCTTCCAAGCAAGGGACAGGAATCACTAAAGAATGTGAAATATCTTCCTGAGTCAGACCTTGTTATGTGAATATGCTGCTTCTTGAATTGCTATTAAGTTCAGTTTGAAAGTAATTTAGAGTTCTAATTTATTGAATAGTCCACTGGGGATAGAAGAACAGTATTCCCAGAGGGACAATATTGGCAGCATCACTGTCATACCAATAGTATATCCTAGTATTGCCAACAAGAAAAATTAAATTTTATAGAAATAACAGCTTTCATTTTCTCGTTCATATTCTCCCAAAGTTCTGAGACCATTTTTGTTATTATGTTAAAGTAATTGCAGACCACCTTTGGATAAGGTTTTGTTTTGTTTTTTGAATTGAGGGTACGTTGATTCATTTATTGCAGCTAGTAAAATACCAGACAACCAGTGGATACTCAGTAAATACTACTTGAAGATGCTGACTACCAGTTAAATTGTTTTCTAAAGGAAATATTTAAAGACTATTGGACTCTATAAAGGATATCCTCATTATTGTTAGATAAAGCACTAGTAGATTTAGCATTGCTATTGTTGTGGCTATTAATACTAATATATCATGAATACAAAAAAATTAAAGGTAGGCCTGCTGCATTTTACAAGTCTGCTTATAATTTTTTATATCCTGGAAGAGGTTTGATGTTCAGTATTATTTTTTTAGGCTGTCATGGAAGTTCAGACCTTGCGACCATCTTACTGGAAATTTCTTTTAAGGATCACCAAGGGCAAGTAAGTGACTCAGATGATTTAAACAATTTAAAGTCCCCCAAAGGGAAAATTCTCAGTTCTGTTATATAGAAAATTCATAGGTCAAATGGATATTTCATGTGGTTCACATCAACTAACCTTATAATTTTTCCACTCCCTACCCAAATTAACTCAGAAAATAAGATATTCATTTAGTGAACATGATTATATCCTTCCTCATCCTTGCTGATATTTTGGAAATGCTATTGGTTGTAGATTAATATAATGTGATTTTGCCAAAAACTATTGAATATTATATACAAAATAAACATGTAACAAATACATTTATTCCTAATTTCATAAATCCAGGGCCTTTTTTTCTTTTAACTTAACATGTTAAGAAGATTGGTTAAAGATCTAAATCCCAAAATTGAACTAATAAACAATTTGGGGAGAAATATTACTAATTCTAAAAACATCCTTCTGAACCACATTTGACTTGTTCAAGTCAAATAGTTGTCTTTTCCATTCTTTTAGATTTTTAAAGGTGGATACTATATACTATTCTGCAATAGGCTTAAAATTTAATCACCCATAGTTGTCTCTTTTACAAAATTAAGCCCCTTTTCTTTAATTCTTTCCTCTTTGAAGATAGAGAAAAGCTGGCAAGTAATGTTCTTTACTTGAAATCTCCTCCAAAAATGTGAATATAATTATTAATTTTACCCTTAGTATTCTTTTTTAAGCCCAAGTTAACTCAACTCCTTCAATGTCCCTTCATATGTTCAACTCTTCAGTTTTTGTATTCTTCTCTTGACTTTCTCTTATTTCTCTCTTGTTCTTTCTTAAAATATAGTGATATGAACTAAGGGGCTAAACTAGGCAATAATATAATATTAGCCTTTTAAAAATAACGAAAGGGTTATTGTCCAGGAATTCAGTTCCAAAGTAGTGTTAGTATACCCTATTGATTATTTTGTCATTTTTTATTTGAATTGTTGATATGTGTGTGTGTGTGTGTGTGTTTTTAAAATAACTTTAATTATTAAATAAAGTTATTTTTTTTTTCATCTAACCCTTTTCACCCTTTAAGTCCATAATCTCCTATCCTGGTTTTTTTTTTTCCTTTTCGGTCTCCTCCTTTTCTTAATATCTACTTATGTAGTTCATCAAGCACATCTTGTAGATGCCCCTGAAACAGTTTTATGTGTTACATTTTGGTCAACTCTATAGAACTTATCAAAATTCTAGGGAAAAAGAAGTGCTTAAAGTGAAAGGAAAGTTCTTCTACCTGCTAATTATATACTAATGCTTAGGGTCCATGCTATAGTAATCTGAATACATGTAGTTCTTTTGAACATTTTTTTAATCTCCTTTCTTCCTCGAAGAAGTAATTTTCTGCGCATCAGTGGTTTTATATAAGCACTAGAATCCAAAATGAAACCATGACTTATTTCTACCAGAAACTTGGATTCTACCCCTCAAACCACAGAGAAATCTGTAAGGGATGCTTTTGCCTTATCTTGCCCAGACCTTTGCCTTATTTCTTGGCCATCTGCAAACTCAAACTATGGCATGTATGATGTACCTCCCCCTACTTCCAGCACCCCTTTGTGTGTTATCTTATCCCATTAGAATCTGAACTTATTGACAGAATTTAGCACAGTGCCTCCCCCCAGTTCCTTCTCTTTTCCATTAATTGTTAGGTCATTCAGAGTTAAATGATACTAATAAAAGGCAGGTATCTTTTCTGTGGTCTGTGTGTCCCTTAAAAAGTTGAAAATCCATGTTTGCTTTGGGTAGCTAGATGGCACAGTGGATAGAGTGCCAAGCCCGGAATCAGGAAGACTCCTCTTTCGAATTTGTCCTCAGACACTTACTTGCTGTGATTCTGGACAAGTCACTTAACCCTGTCTGACTCAGTTCCCTTATCTCTAAAATGAGCTGGAGAAGGAAATGAAAAACCACTTCAAGTATCTCTGCCAAGAAAACCCCAGGGGTCATGAAGAGTCTGACGTGACTGAAAACAACTGAACAACAACAGCAAAAATGTTTGCTTTGGAAAAAAATATATAAAAAAGAAGAAGAAAGGGGGGGGCAGCTAGACGGCACAGTGGATAGAGCACCGGCCCTGGAGTCAAAAGGACCTGAGTTCAAATCTGGCCTCAGATACATAACACTCACTAGCTGTGTGACCCTAGGCAAGTCACTTAACCCCAATTGCCTTAAAAAAAAGTTTGCTTTGACTTTAAATATTAACCCCCCCCTTTTTTTTTGAAAGAGAATGAGAAACTATTAATATATCTGTGAAGACACTCATTTGTTAGAATGTGCTTGAATTTACCCTGTGAGCTCATTGGAATTGTAAATTAGAATCTCTGTGATTGCTAGTTTTTTTTTTTTAATATGATTCAATTCATTAGAAAATTCTCAGTAACCTTCAGTTGAGATCTGACATCTGATAAAAAGATTGAATCAAACATCCTGAGATTCCACAACTGATTGTATCTCTTATATAAAGTATTAGATAGTCAATCATGAGAGAAGAGTGATTTCTGATATTTGTAAAACTAGCACATAGTAGAGTTAGGTGCTTAATAAATGCCTATTCCCTCTCCACTCCCCTCCATGATTCTGCCGTTGCCTATACCATTAGCCAGCTTAGCCTCAATATAATTCTATTCTTTCTATCAGATAAGCAAAATGAATCCAAATGAAATATTATGAATAACTTAACTCAGTAGCAGAATTTATAAAGTCTGCATTTGCTTACACTCTCACCATTCATTTTCTAGGTTTGCAGTCATAAACAGAAAAGTCCTTGATGTATTTGGTACTGATGCATCTAAGTACTTCCAGGATTTCACACCCCAGTTGGATCCAAGATATACTACTGTGATACCAGACCTACCCATGGAGCTTTCTTGAAGATTATTCCTTATTATGACTAAATGTGATTATCATTTTCATCTGAAAAGTTAATTGAGTTGGACAGAAAGAAGAGGGCCCATGTTCCACTTCAGTGTTATTTCAATGAGAAATGCTTTTTATTGATCATAAATACTGAAGCTTTTTAGGAAGGTGTTGCTTAATAATTAAGCTCCCTCCATAGCCAGAATATGATTGTGGATCATTTTAGTATTTGACAGTATGGTAGAGTCTTGATTAAATTATGTCCATGAGAATGGTAAATGATCTCAAGAGAAATGAAATGACATAAAATATGCTTAAAATAATACTTTAAAATATATCTTTAGTTCATTCCAGTATACTTCTTGGTGAGCCTAAGAATAGTTCCACATTTGAGAATTTATAAAGGATCACGAGTACACAAATTTGATCTATTGTATTTTGGTTTAAGTTTTCATTTGGCAACTGTGATGGTGAATGCCTCATATTTAAGATAATTTCAAAAACTGCTACTTGGTCGCTAATTTAAGGGAAAACAATAGCCATTTTGTTTCAGGGTTGCAGAGGTATCTTTTACCATATGATTAAATATGGCAGTAACATCATTTTTAAAGCTCTGTTGTTAACACTGATAACTTCACCCTTCCTGATGATAAGATGGGCCATTTGGCAGTCTAGTTAACACATGATCCACATGGAAGGAAATCAGTTTGTCAAGTGGAAATTGTCATATCTGAGAAAGCTGAAATGCAGTGTTTAAATATTTATGGAAGCATTGCAAGTGAGCACTAAAGAAGTTACCTTTAAAAGTACCAGCTTCCTGTAGATTAATTGCACTCAAATTTGTTAATAAGGATTGTATTCTTCAGAGCTAGGTTTTAATGCCGTTGCTGTTCCAGAAGGGATCAAAATATTGTGGAGCAGTCCTCTAAGAAAATCAGCTTAAGCAAATTCTTAAAGCCATGTTTGTTCACGTTCAAGTGTGTCACACAGGCAGCGAGTTGTTTTATATTGATAATGACAGCTACTGACAACATGAAATGCCACTGGTTGTAAAAAAAATCAGTTTCATGACAAATTTGCTTCAGATTTTGTACTGCCTTTTTCCCATTGTCACCATGTTTTTCTGTGTTAGAATAAAGTAGTGACAAAATATAGTCACTGCTAATTATGAAAGTTAGTTCAGAACAGCTGTGGCTGAAATAGGATCACTCCTTAGAGCTTTTCAGGGAAAAGTTGTACTTTTCTAAGCTAATAAAGCTTGGACACTTGTGATGACTGCTGTGAATGGAACATATAATAAGAATGACTATATTTTTTTAATACAATTTAGTTGCTGAAAAGTTTGTAGCCCACTGTAAGTTAATTATGGAGTAGAACCTGTGTTGCAACTGGAATTGTAACCCTGCCTTTAAAATACTTAATCCCACATATTCGGTTTCATAAAGCCTGTAACTCCATCCTCTGTTGTTATGGCAAACTGAGACCCAACAGAAATCAAGGCATTGATGGTAACATAGTAGAGATCTACATTGGTTTCATCTAAATACTTTGCTTTGATTAACTCTGTAGAGCTGACATGTGCCATCAGGACATGTTAGTAAGAGATTGTGCCAGTTTCTGACTCCAAATTGTATTAACATAGTTTTAAAGTTTTTCCTCATTGGAATCAACAAAATGATAGGCTCCGTATTAGGAGTTTAAAACTATTATGCATTGCAATAACCAAGAAATATTGCTGTCTGCATCTCTTATTTCTTTCATTCAGAAACGTTGGTTATAATGCTTTTTTTGTCATGTAAAAATAAAATCCTTTTGATCCATAAGTTATTTTCATTGATATAAAAAGCTCATTTGTTGGAATGACTTAAGCCCTACTGTAATTTTCTTTCTGAGATTCTAGAGTAAAATATTTGCTGCTTGTAAAGATTCAACTCTTCGATTTACTTTTATTAATAAAAACTGGTAAATAGCCTGGGCAGAGTTCCTAAGTGTTTCTTGGAGGGAGGGAGGGAGGGAGGGAACAAGCCTGTGAATGTTTAGAAGAGTTCTGAGGAATATGAAAAAAGTTAACTTGGCCTTTTCCCTCCTATACTTCACTGAAAAAATGGCTAAAGTGATCCATTGGTTCTTCATTATTTTCAGGGTTCCAAGGTAGAGTCCTCATGAGCAAAAGTCAGCCTGTTAAAGAAGGTTCCTTAAATTCTTGTAATGAGACATCTGATGACCTTCACCATTACCTAGAATACTGTACTATTTTCTGTATTGCTCCTTTCTTTCTTAGAGATACTCCTTGCATAAGAAATAAAGATTAGGTAACAGACAAAGAAGGATGGGGCCAGGGTGGGAAGTAAGATATGATTATCCAATAGAAAGTAAGCTTCCTGAGGGTAGGGGTCATTTCATTTGGATCTTTTATTCCCAGCATAGACCAGTTCCTTACACAGTAGGATGCATTTAATAAATGTTTGCTGAATTGAATTGAATCTTTTCTGTGCAAGCATGTGGTGACTAAGATCTTGAAATCTCAGGATAATTTTAGCCCTTCATAGAGGGTCATAGTCACAGCTCTCCTGCAGCACTGCCATTCCTTCTGTGGCAGATAGGTGGCACACTGGATAGAGCTCTGGGCTTGGAGTCAGGAAGACTCATCTTCATGAGTTCATATCTGGCCTCAGACACTTACAAACTGTGTGACCCAGGACAAGTCACTTAACCCTGTTTGCCTCAGTTTCTCATCTGTAAAAGAACTGGGGAAGGAAATGGCAAAACCTCTCTAGTATCTTTGCTAAGAAAACTCTGAATGCAGTCACAAAGAGTCAGACTCAACAAAACTTTCCTCTAGTCCAACTGCTTTGCCCACTGAGCATTTTAGGTGAGTGTGGTGATTTTAGGTGATATATTTCTAGTGCCAGGGTCACATAGTCCTAGAGGCATGGGAAATTCAAGGTCCATACCAAGTTTCTGTTCAAAGCTATGTAGCCTCATGTGGCTTTGCTGTGGGTCACTTAGGTGGACTGACTATAAAGTGATGAGAGTCATTTTGGTCTGTATGGTGGAAACAGGGCAGGACTGATCATAGAGATGTATTACAACGTATTTCATCCTGGACAACTGTGATGAAGAAAGAAAGGCACATGTTGTTTAATGTTGTCATAAAGATGAATGAATGTTGTTAACATTGAATTTTGTATGATATCCTACAATTGAAACACTTGATATGTTGAAAGAAGCTTATGAAGATGAACTAATTGCTAAGACAAGAGTTTCGGATGGTACCTAAAGTTTTACAGAAATGTGAGAAAAAGACCAAATTAGACCCTGAAGAAAAAGGATGAGAATGTACTTCCCTCTTTCATTTACAGAGATGGAGGACTGTGGGTGTAGAGTATTTCATGTAATGTAGTCTCAGACTTGGTTGATGTTTTGTTAATTTTGCTGAACTGGTGTTTTCCCGTTTTTTATTCTTTCTTATAAAGCAAGGGATTTTAACCTTGGATCCACTGGCTTGATTTTTAAAATATTTCGGTAACTATATTCCAGTATAATTGGTTTCCTTTGTAATTGTGTGCCTTTTAAGCATTTAAAATCATTATTCTGAGAAAGGATCTGTTGGTTTTACCAGACTGCCAAAGGATCCATGACATAGATTAAGAAACTCTTATAAGGGATAGCTTCTGAGGGTTGGTGGTTATATTGGGAAATGAAAATGACATATACTCTGTATGAGCATGGTTCAAGTTATTTAATTTCTCTTAGGTTTGGTTTATTCATCTGTAATATGGAGGTAATAACTGGCCTTGTAGGATGGTTGTTTAAAAACAAAACAACACTTTGTGAACTACAAAACACTAAATGATTATTAAATGTTACTGTGTTCAAAGGAGCCTTGAATGCAATTTTAAGAAGTTCCAAAAATTTTTTGTTACAGGGCATCATCATTGCTATGAGTATATACATAAAAAGTTGAGTTTTCTGGGGTGACTGTTTTGAAGAGGACAACACATTTTTTATAGATACCTTCTAATATACCTGCTAATAAATGTATCATTCTGTTTTCATATTGGAACTCTTTTTGTTTGGCCCAGTGATGGAAGAGCCTGGTGTGATAGAGGACTAGCCACTTGAGCCCAGATGATCAACCTTCCCTCCTATGAAGGTTTGAAAACTGCTGGATCAATACTAGATTAGAAGCTTTTCTACTAAATTATAATCACCTTGAGGCTGGGGTTCCTGTCTTAGTTATCAATATGTCATTCAATAAATACCAGAACAAATTAAAAGAATGCTGGCCAATACATGCAGAAGGGAGCGAGTTTCAGGGTTTAGAATGAGGGAAGGATGCTATATGCAGTAAATCTTATAAAAATATTTTTTTCCAATTAACAAGAATTGATTTTCTCTCCCTCCTCTCACACCACTAGTGAAACAAAAAAGAAGAAAAATCAAATCCTTATAACCAGTATGTTTAATCGAGCCAAGTGAGTTCCCACATTGGCCATGACCAAAAAATATGTCTCATTCATAGCATTCTAAGGACCTGTAATGTTCAGGCAGGGTGTTTTTTCATCGTATCTCTGGAATCATGTTGGCTATTGCATTTGTTTGAGTTCTTAAGTCTCTCAAAGGTGTTTATTTTTATAATGTTACTGTTATGGTATAAATTGTTCTCCTTATTCTGTATAAGCAGTAAATTTTAATCAGTACATATTTGTTGCTTCCATGACACTATCCATTTCATCCTCTTTGCCCCCTTTTCCCTTTGCCTTCAATCTTTCCCAACGTTGGGGTCTTTTCCAATTAATCCTGTCTTCTCATTATGTGGCCAAAATATTTAAACTTCAGTTTCAGTATTTGACCTTCCAGTAAATGGCCTTTTTTTTTTCTTTTTTAATTTCTTTTAAGTATTGACTGATTTGACCTTCTTGCTGTCTAAGGGACTCTCTTTTCTAGCACCACAATTCAGAAGTGTAGCTTCTGCAGTGCTCAGCTTTCCTTATAGTGCATCTCTCACACACATACATTGCTACTGGAAAAAAAACATGTAGCTTTGACTATACGGACCTTTGTCAGCAAGGTGATGTCTCTGCTTTTTAGTATGATGTCCAGATTTGCCATAGCTCTCCTTCTAAGGAGCAAGCACCTTTATTCTCATGGCTGCAGTCACTGTTTGCAGTGATTTTTGAGCCCAAGAATATAAAATCAGACACTGCTTCCATTTCTCCCTCTGTTTGGCAGGAAGTGATGGGACCAGTTGCCAAGATCTTAGTTTTTTTGATGTTAAGCTTCAAGCCAGCTTTTTTCACTCTCTTTCACCCTCATCAAGAGGCTTCTTAATTCCTCTTCATTTTCTGCGATCAGAGTGGTATCATCTTCATATCTGAGATTGTTGATATTTCTCCTAACACCCTTAATTCTAGTTTTTGATTCATCTAACCTGGCATTTTGCATGATGTACTCTGCGTATTAAGTTAAATAAGATGACAATATACAGCCTTGTTGTACTCCTTTTCCAATCTTAAACCAATCAGTTGTTCCATGTTTGGTTCTAACTGTTGTTGCTTGGCCTGCATACAAGTTCCTCAGGAGACAAGTAAGATGATCTGGTATTCCTATCTCTTTGAGGACTTACTATATTTTGTTGATAGATATCTATAATGAAAGAGAGCTCAGAAAGCTGGAATATTTGGTGCGGAATTCATGGAGGAGCCTGTTTTAGCTGAGATTTGAAGGATGGAAGTTTTTGAAATAGATTGTCAAAATAAGAATGCTGCCTGACTAGACACAGAGGAATAATAATAATCACCAACTAGAGCACCTGAAATTTACAAAGCACTTCACGTACATCTCACAACAGCCCAATGTGGGAAGTATTACATGCATTATTATCTGTATTTTACAGATGAAGAAACTGAGGCCCAGACAAGTTAAATAACCTTTCTAAACTCACACAGCTGAGTGTTTGAGGTATGATTTGAATTTAGGTCTTCCTGACTCCAAGTCCATCATTCCTTCTACTACCCAATACTGTCTCTTATGATTAATTACCTGGCTTAGACCCTTGCACGTAGTAGGCATCAGTAATGATGTGGATGAATGAATGGATAATAGCTAGTTTTGTTAACTCCTTTTAGAATTTAAACCCTGAATAATATGAGAGTTGCCCACCATGTCTTGGTAGAGAAGACTAACAGTACAAAATGAGGCATATACTTTTCACACATGGCTAATGTGTTGATATGTTTTGCTTGACCATCCATATTTGTTATAAGGGAGAGTTTGAAGAAAGCAGGGTGGTGATAGAGATGAGGAAGAAAAAGAAAAAGAGGGAATCAATAAAACAGAACAAAAATACACAAAAATACCAAAAAGTTCAATGAGACACAGAGGGCAATTTTTGTATTACTTTGTTAAATTTACTATAGACTTTGTTTAAAAAATCACAGGGCAGGGGGCAGCTACGTGGCACAGTAGATAGCATACTGGCCCTGAAGTCAGGAGGACCTGAGTTCAAATCCGGCCTCAGACCAAACCCTTGATACAAGCTGTGTGACCCTGGGCAAGTCACTTAACCCCAATTGCCTAAAAAAAAAATCACAGGGGTTTGTAATTTCATATATCACTCTTTTTGGTTCCTTCTATGTTGGAATGTCTGTATTTATTGATGATGGCTATGCTCATCATCAAAACAAATTAATTTTCTTTAAAACCAGAGAAAATTCAGCACGTGTGTTGCCCCCAGGCAGTCTTTAGCATTTTACCACTGTCAGTATGTTAGCTCTCTGGAACAGAAGAACCTGTGGAGAATGGGAAGAGTTTTTTGCCTCTCCTCCCCCCCCCCCCCCCCCCCCCCCCCATCAAGTCTAAATTGCGGATGTAGTTGAACTCTCCTGCTCCAGTGGAGAGGCCCCTTTAGAATGGCTTTATGGAATAGTTGTGGAGCAAGTACCGCCCCTGGCTTTTCCTACCAAGGC